TTTTCTAAACAATCCTAGAAAATTGGACCCTTTTCTTAAAAATCCGAGGTAATTTTTGGGATTTTCTAATGATTCAAAAAAATTTCTCGTATTTGTTAGAGATTTCGAGAAAAATAAAAGACTTTTTGGAAAATTGCGAAAATTTTAGAACTTCTTGAAGAATCTGAAAAAATTCTGATATAAAAAAAAATTAAGGTAAATCGATGAAATTTTTACTGTTGATTGATTTTGGCTCCTCGTTATAACTTAAGTTCTAAATTATTATAAATCTAAGAATACCTGAAAAATGCTTGCTTTTTCTAAATAATTATAGAATTTTTGGAATTTTTGTGAAATTGAAAAAAAATCTCAAATTTTCGTGAAAATTCGTATTTTTTCATGAAAAATTTTGAAAAATTCTCTCAATTTTTAAAATATTCAAGATTTTTTGGCTAGAAAGATAAAATAACATTTTCATCGGTACTTTCAAAAACTTTTTTAAAAAATTGACAGCTTTGTCTTCTCAAATAATTTTAGTTAATTACACTGTGGCTTTCCAACCTAGGCAACTACTAACCCCCCTCTATCACAAATCGTCACCAATTACACAACCCCCTCCCCTTTTTAATCGCGTGACATAAAATTTGAATGTTTTCAACGATTCTTAGTATAATACCCCAAAGTTCTTATTTTAAGAACCCCGAATACAATGTTTGTTATCTTCTCCCTCATTGATTGTTTGAAAGTTTACTATGAAATATGGCAAAAATTCGAAAAATTGGTATTGAATATCACGAAAATTTGAAAATAAGATTACAAAGAGGAACTGAAGATTGAAATAAAAACCAAAAATACGAATAAAATCATTTGAATTCAATGATTCCATTTAGTGGCGTGATCTCTGTAAATTCACCTTCATTGATGTTTTTTCTTCGTTTTAATGAGGACCAGGACATCCATGTAAGGTATCAATTCAGGTACTGGGAGGAGATGGATATCAATTGAACAATCAATATTTCAAACCTGTTTGTCTTATCTTTCTAATATTCATCCGTTTGTCATCATCCTATTGTTATGATTTTTTACTCGGTTTTGCAATTGGCTAATTTGATGATTTTGAATAGTTTTTTTAGTTCCCTACTTCTAGATGGTTATATGAGAAAAATAAATCATTTTGTATCACACACATATGTCTTTTCAAATACCCTCTACAATTTCAATCGCAGAAACTGCCACGAAATCTTCTGAATTTTCTGGCATATTTTAATTAGTCCTCATTGGAATAATAATGGAGTAGAGAGTGAAGATTTCGATTATTTATCACAGATATTCTCGGAAAACAAGCCTGATGGGCACTATTCTATTCACTTCATAATTATTTGATTCACGTCGTAATTGTCCTCAAACAATATTCGTTAATCGAGCCTTGATTAGCAATTAATCTATGAGGAAAGGTTCGACACGAGACTGTAGCAATTTCAATAGGAAATTTTGTTCGATTTCTATGGAAGTTCTATTAAGATCCTCTGCTTGTTTTTATCTTTCTGTATTTATCCTTGCTTAGCTTCACAAAATGCAAAAAAGACATACAACATTCATACCCTGGAATTTTATATGGAAAAAATCAGTCATTTTCTGAAAGAGTGTTCATACGACCTTTGGCTCAACTTTAAAAAAAAATTTTAATCAAATGAACTAGAAAATTTGTTTTCTGGAAGTGAGGCTCAGATGGTTCAGAATCATCTGAAACGTGGAGTTTCACTGTTCTCTCAGAAAGCGTTTATACGACTTTTAAGTTCGAATATTCGAAGAATCTTCAAATTCAGTTCAAATCTATGCAAAAAATATCTGTAAAAGTGAGGCTCAAATGGTCTAGAATCGTCTGAAACGTCGAAGTTTACTATTCCCCCAGGAAACGTTTATACTAACTTTCGGCTTAAATTTTTGAAAAATCTCTAAACTCTGTTTAAACGTTCCAAAAAAAGTCTCTGAAAGTTAGACTCAGATGGCTCAGAATCATCTGAAACGTGGAGATTTACTATTCCCTTAGGAAGTGTTTATTCGATGCTATTTAAAATTCTATTTGTTTTCTTTTTGCCGTTCTATTGAGACATTTTTTTAAATAAATTCATAAAAAAGTTTGGATACAAAAAAATGCAATAAATTATTTGTTCTTTTACATCAAATTTTTTCTATGGACTTTTCTATAAAAACTTTTCAATAAAATGGCCGAAAAAAAATAATAGAACTTTTAATAAAATGTCAATTAAATTTCAGTGGAGTCCTGATGAATTTTTATGCGAAATCGCTCAGATTTACTATTTCATTTTTTCGGATATGATTATTCCAATTCCAAATTAGAGAAGGGAATTTGGAAATATTAAAGTAAATCATCCCGTCAATTAAGTAATTGGGAAATAACGAATGAATTATCTAGCTAATCGGTAATTCGTCGAAGTCAGATTCCTAATTACCCATGTAATTTGGAGAACTACAATATGAAATTACTTGCCCGTTCCAGTAATTCGATATTGTGAATATTTATTATTCAAGTAATCTGTAATCTGCGAAATCAAATTCTCGGTTAGTCAAGTATTCTCCAATGGCATTTTGTTCGATTATTTCTATCACCGATAGTTAGTAGAGGTCATTGAAAATTCCTTCGAATATTTTGGTAATTTGCGATTAGTGCTAATAAAAACTCATGTATTTCCCAAGCTACTCAGAAGAATTATAAATTTTAAAGGATTAATGGGTTACTGATATACAACTTGATATTTTAATTATAATCTCCAATTATTTTTCTTAGATTACGAAAGAAAAATGTAATTTAATCCCAATTTTCCCATCCCTGGGTCTACCCTCATTCCCTCCTACTCCAGCAAATAGGTGAAATCAAAAATTATAAATCACTTGAAATCGTGTAAAATCGGGAAATAACAAAAAAAAATCCCAGGCAACCACACGAAATCAATGACTGCATGAAATCATGGAAGTCTTCCTGAAATTACGTGAAATGAGCAATCACTGTGTCACCGGATTTCCAAATGAATGGCCCCTCGGGTTTAAATCAAGACGTTTTTGTTCCCTTTTTTACGACAATCGTCAAAAAAGATCTCAAAACGGTAAAAAGCCTGTCTTAATTAGCGACTTGGTGTCTTAGTTTAAGACAATATTTTTCGTGTGCAGTACTGTTCAGTCCCATATCGACTGAAATTTTTGGAACTAAAAATATAACAAATGAAAGAATTCAATGTACAAATAACCGTTTCTCGTCCAGCCAAATTCCGTTTTCAAGGTCATAAATTACGCCATCCTTAGAATTTAAACCGCAGATAGAACAAAATTAGAGGTCTACTTCGAGAAACACTAGAAAATCACATACAAGTCGACAAACCCGAGCGCACGGAAAGATATTTCATACCCTTTTTTTGGCTACTCTTCGGATTTTCCCTGAGAGCTCCAAAATCGATGCTGAGGCTGCGTCGCAAATATTTTCACTCCTTTCACCCTTCCCTAGAAATTCACCAACTAGAAAACTGAAGGAAATTTTCAGTAAAATCATTTGGCGTTTATAACCCTCGCTCTCGAAAATTTATATTTTGAACGGACCCTTTCTTCCTCACGAATTCAGAAAGGCGGAGAATTTATATAGTCAGTTCACGACATCGCAGAGATAAGACACTATTCTTTATACTCTAACGATAGAAATATTTACACCGAATATCCGTAATTGAATTCAGTTATTTTAATCATTTGTGTAATCAAAAATGGTCCGTAAATTTTTTTCTGGTGTTATATACTTTTAAACGCAGTATACAAACAATTTTTAAACCTTTGTAATTAATATAATTAACTTAAACTTCGTCTACTATCCTTGAACTTATTTATTATGGCTTCCGGATGGATGCCGCGTCTAGATTCAGTTTCTTGCCGACGTTTCGCAAACATTTCAGTCTGCATCATCAGGGCTAGGTCGCTCCGATACTGGAGCTCCCCATTGTAAGGAAGTCCTTATATCCCCCCGACCCCTGAAGGAGGTAGGTGGAATGGTGGGGGGTATCGCAGCCAATCAGGAATTGATCAGCTGGTCAATTAAAAAACCGGAAGGACGGTGTGCCAAATGAGATTGGTTTGATATCCTCGATCCCTATTGAGATTATTCAGATGTTTTTGGATCTCGAGACCTTCGCGATGTTTTCTGGCAAAATATCCTTGTGAGCTGGCAAGCATTTCTGTCTTGACATATTGGATAGAGTGTCCAGTGTCCATCTAATGTTCAGCCAGTACAGATTGCGAGACATGGCCGTTTTGACCTAGCCCTGATGATGCAGACTGAAATGTTTGCGAAATGTCGGCAAGAAGCTAAATCTAGACGCGGCATCCATCCGGAAGCCATAATAAATAATAATGCTGGCCGCGAAAGTCTCGAAACTCATAATATCCTTAAACTTAATCAACGTAAACTTTGTCTACTATCCTTTTCAATAGTGTGGTCTGCAAAAGTTGGAGACTTGTATCTTAGCGAAAAAAAATCGCAAGACTGTGGGGCCAATTTCATTCGTTAGATTGAATATTACTTTACTCTAATACAGAATTTCATTTCTTTCATCTGAATGGGAACCCTGAGGGAGGCGTGACCGATGCCTTGACCGCCTTGCGGCCGAAATTCGAACTAGCGTGAGCAAATAACGCACTTTATGATGTGCGAGCGTACTGGAGCTCACCCACCGATGATCCAGTACCTCTGTCGGATGTGTGCCAATGTTAGTTGAGTTCCCCTATGGAAACTCCGTTGATGAGCGTCTGCGACGATGAGCGTTGATAGCGATGAGTGACGTGCGAGAATAATTGGATTTTTCTCCTTCGGATCCAACGTTGATTTTCGTAGACATCCGCCCAGACGCATGACGCCGTCCTCCAGATATGGCGTCAGCGTCGCCATTCAATGATTTGCTGCCAGTGAGTTGCCTGTCCGTGGAGTGTTGATTTCCGCCTCGAAGTAGAGCTGTTGAGTGTACCTTACCCAGTACAGTCTTGCCTCTTCGAGCTCTTGTGGTCCTAATTGGGGAGATTCCGGTGGCGGCTGCCGTTGGAAGCATCTTGCGGCTCCATGGATCCAGGCTGTGATCCGCAATAGCTTCGTCAACGATGAATATCTGATGAGCAGTGCATCCGCCTTGGCGATTTGCACTGGATGCGAGCTGTTGGGGAACGGGATTGATCTCCATTAATCCATGTGATGGCTAATGATGAGTCGCTCCAGAGATGGACTTGTATCTTTTCCAACTCCAGTGTTCGTTGTACGTAAGCCACAAGATCCGTTGCCAGGAGAGCTGCTGTTAGCTCCAGCCATGGTATAGTCATCTTCTTGAGCGGTGCCACCTTGGTCTTGGCACAGATCAGGGTGACAGTCGTTCCCGATGTCGCTGATGATGCTCGAAGATAGACCGATGCGCCCATCGCCAGATTAGATGCGTCCGCGAAACCGTGTAGTTGAACTTCGGTCGTCTTGGGCGATAAATTGAGCCATCTCGGTATTGATAGGCTGCTCAGCTGCTGAAGTTCCTGCCTGAAGAGTTGCCAGCGTTTTATTAAAGCCATTGGAAGTTGATGGTTCCAGTTGAGTTTGAGCAGTCACAGCTCTTGGATGAGTATCTTTGCCGTGACGATCACCGGCGCGATGAGTCCCAATGGGTGGTAAATTGGCGCAATCTCGGACAGGATCACGCGTTTGGTGATGGTGTCCCGGTTGAAGCTCTTCGCTTTGTAGTGAAAGGTATCTGCCTGAGGCTGCCAGCAGAGCCCCAGCACTTTCACCGTTGATTCCTCAAATTCGATGGTTGGAGCTAATCCCGATGAGAGCCCGAGTCGTTTCAAAATGTGTGGCACATTGCTGCACCATTTCTGCAGGGGCATGCCGCCCGTCATGCAGAGGTTGATTAGCTGCTTGATGATCTCCTCCAGTTGATGCTCCGTTTCTGCACCTCCGTATATGTCGTCGACATATCGTCTCTTGATAAATGTCGGTAAGGCCAGTGGAAATCGATGAACTTCGTCGATGGCCAACTGCTTCAGCACCCGTAACGATACCCAGGGTGCACAGCTGGTACCATAGGTGACTGTCGTCAGTTGATACTCGATGGGTTGGCCGTTGTCGTCCTTCCAGAGAAGTCGTTGATAGTCCCAGTCATCTTGTTGTACCCGGATCTGGCGAAACATCTTCACGATGTCCGTGCCGAAAACAAACCGATGCCGACGTAGCCAGATGAGAATGTCGGAGCTGTTGATTTGCAGTCTAGGTCCCGGATGGAGGATGTCATTCAATAACACCCCCGTTGAGCTTCGATGCGAGGCGTCGAACATCACTCTCAATTTTGTGGTCGGCTGTCTGGTTTAAGCACTGCGTGATAAGGCAAATAATATGCCGATTCCAGCTCCGACGTCGATGATACTCGTTGCATGTGGTTGGACTCATAGTCCTCGATGAATTTCTTGTAGCGTGTATGAGTGTCCGGATCCGATGACAGTCGCCTGATGAGCTTCTGCAACCGTATCTTGGCCGATGATGCTATATCCCCCGAGGCGGCTGGCGATGATTTAAACGGGAGACGCACAATGTAGCGTCCCGTTGAATCTCGTCGATGAGTCTCGATAAAGTGTTATTCACATTACGCTTCAGGCTTCGTCAAGACCGATGATGATGTATCCGGTAGTTCCACCTGAGTCCCAAATTTCTTCAGGAGTTCCAAGAGTTGTTGGTTTGCCATCTGTTTCGTTACTTTCGTTACGAAATAGTTCAGACGAAGATGGTTTGTTGGGCTATCAGATTCGTCTCCTTGAACCTGATGATTCTCTTACTGATGATTCTCCTGTAGACGTCAGCTCTGATGATGATGTCGATGGCGCCAGGTTTCACGAAGTGAGGATCTGCAAGTTGAAGTTCTCGCAGTTCATGAGGAATCGTTGATTCGCAAGTGAATGGCGGTATGTTCGCCGTCAGTTTGCTCAGGATGTGGGCGTTAATGTTGATTTGAGCAGCGGGTTCGTGCTTCGATTGTAACGCGAGAGTCACTACACCACGCGTGCTCCCCGATGAGGTTTCTCCGATGCCGACGATGAAAATTGATGATGACCTCCGCTCCAGATGAAGTTGATTGACCAAGCGCTCAGAGACTAGTGTTATCTCTGAGCCCTGGTCGATGAGGATCCGTGTTGGCCTTGAATTTCCGTGACGATTGAGGGCGAAGACCCTCGCCGTTGGCAAGATTACCAGTTGAGTTGCATTCTGATGAGGTCATTGAACTTCCAAAACGTTGATGGTATCCACCGGATTCACCTGGTACGGTTCTGATTCATGATTGACCTGGTACTCCTCTAATTGACGATGATCTCCTATGTACATGGGCTTTAAATGAGGTTGATGTCCCACCTGATACTTTTCTGATTGTCCAGGATCTCCAATCTGATTGTGCGAGGTCGTTGACCTCTTCCTCTCGATGAGTGTCCGTGCAGATGATTTAATTTGTGATGCTGCGTCTTGGCGCGATGATGGACCGGATGACTTGTTGACAGGTTCCTGGTTAATGAATGTCTGTTCCTTGATGATGGTCCGTTTTTCGCCTGTCAGGTTGGTGTTCTCTAGGGTCTGAGAGAGTCGTAAATTCTCCGTCGACGTTGAACACGATGAAGATTTCTCTGATGATGATGCTGAGGGGAGAAACACAGAGGATGAGGCCGTATCAATTGCCAAGATTTGATTGTAAAATAATAAAACGATACTTGACCTCTCCTCTGGTGTTCCTGGAATCCCCCCTCTCGCTTGGGCGCTACCGAGATGCTGGCCATGTCTGCCATTTCCTCCTCGAAGTTTTTGATGAATGTCTCGGGCCCCTCTGTTTTGATTCCGTCTGCCCAAGATGATGCTGGTCCCGCTTTACTCCTTGCCATGATGAATTTCCTGCCTTACCGACCGTAGATGTATTCGCCGGTGATTTACCGACTGCCTCGTTGAGGTGAAGGCGCAGCGCTCACTCTACGGCTGCACATGGGTGGGGATGGACAAATCCGATGAATGCCGATGTGCGACGAGGATTGACGAAATGCCAACCGATGGGCCTCCGGCTTTGACGTCACGACGATCCTCGTGTTGAATTGCTGACTTCGACCGATGTAAACAAAACACTCCATTGAATTTGCTTTAATCCTCGTTCAATGTCCGACCTCGGATGATTTCCCTTGATGTAGTTTTATGAATCCTGAAAAGCTTCGCTACTTACGGCATCGGTTTTTCACCCACGTTGATTTTCCTTGCACTGTCTTTGTCCACGATAATTGTCCACTGCAATATCACTCCACTATCCGGCTCGAAGGATCACTGTTAAAAATCTTGTGGGATTTTGATGATAGGGAGGTCGGGAGGGAAAGTGAAGTGGGATGGATTACCGGAGAATAAATTAAGATGAGTTTCGTTGATTGTCACTGTATTTAAAAACTTAGTGCACTGAAATATACACTCGATCGATTTCTAATAAATAGTTGATTTACCGAAGTGGACTGTACAAACACAAAATATTTAGATAATAGACCCAATAATTTACGATGAGGTTCGACAACTTTAACGATGAATTTCCCGATAAATGCGCCAATGTGCGCCCGGATAAGTTTCAGTGATTCGGTCCTGATGAGAGTCGTTGGTGTACTGACCACCGTGGAACACGCTCTCGACTACGTGCGTGCTCGTTGATGGTCGGGAATTTCCATAAGGGACGTGAAAACGAGTTGGCTCAAAATACAGGCCAGACTTTGAACACTTACATTGAGTGAAAAAATAGTCTTTGGTAAAATGTAACGAACACACTTTCATTGATTTTGTCAACGGCTTTCCGATTCTCAAAATTTTTTTCCAACCAATTACACGATCAACTGTTTCCTCCTTACCGACTTTCGGCTTCAATTTTATGAAACTCTTGTTTTTTTTAAAGGAAATGAGAAGAATCTCACCGTAGGCTTACGATAGACTGAACCATTGCAGCCAGGCACACTGCAAAATTCTTTGTTTTCCGTTACTCTGATGTCGAACTACACTGATAGAATGATTCATTTATTCCAAATGAGATTCGTTAACTATTAACGAATGGTAGAGTTGAATATGACCAAATGAATATTCATTAATAGTTAACGAATGGTTCACTTGAATGGCGAAAGTCAAGTCAAACAAGGCTCCTCAAATATACATTCGTTAACTACTAACGAATGAACATTTGGTGAGACCGAATAGACCCTAACCTCCAACCAAAATCCATTCGTTAACAATAACTAATCCGTTCTATCAGTGTATATTTTTTGATTAAAAAATAGTATTCTCTTTCCTTTAAAGACGACTTTGGAACTGTGTTGATGTGAACAAACAATATAAATCACGAGAAATTTAATAATAACCGGCAAAAAACAACTCTTTTGTATACATAAACTAGTACGCGCTGCGGCTGTTTCTGCGTTAGTTTCTGCGCTATTATGATAAGAAGATGAAAAAATTCATGTTTTTCATGTGCAGTGAAAATGAACTTTGACGGAGTCCCAGGACCTCAATCTTTTTTTCAAAAATTATCCTAATTTTTTACATGATGGCCCACGTGTTCAAGAATGGAATGGTTGAATAAAATTTCATTTTCTGAACAATTATTGTGTTCTAAAATGAAAAAATCTCATGCGATTATTTCCAATGACGAATAAGCAATTAGAATGAAAAAAAATTCTTCGAATAGACAATTGAAAACTAAATACATTTCGGTTATAATTTGCTGCGAGAAATATACCAAATATTTTATAAAAATTCTTGAAATTTCCGTTTTTTCACTGACAGCACGTCATTATAATTTAGTAGAGGTTACCTTTGGGGCCCTCGGAATTGGTACTACATGTGCACTCTTCTATCTCTTTCAGGGACGAGTGGCCTGCCGTTGAGGAAGTTTCGGGAATCGATAGGGCGACCATCAAACTATGGAACTATATTTTTTGGAAATAAAATATTTTCTGCGAGTCAAATAGAAAAATAAATGAGTTTTAAATTTTATAAATAGGAGTTAAAAATTAATACGAGTTATACATTTTTAGAGAAATCAATAAGTTATAAATATTTTGTTCAAGGCCCCAGGGTTACCTTCGCTGGCTTTGGAGAAGGTAGCAAAGTGCACATATGGAAAGGATTTTTCGGATCCGGGAGGGAACACTGTCGTAAAATGGTGAAGGGATGCGGCTAGAGTAATAATATCTTTTCCGGAAAATTTACAATTATTATAAATCTTTCAGAGGATCTATTGTTATGAATATTTACAAAAAAGTATTAAATATTCGATTGTCCGTAAATTGCAATTTATCCCATGCCAATTGGATATTTTTTATTGGTGATGGCCGCACGAGATATTTTTATTTAACCCCTCACTGACGGGCCCTTTTGTGTCCAAGCGTGAAGTATGTTCGATACAACTAGAATGTAATGACTTCTAATCAACGGAAAATTATGAAACTGATATGTAATTGAAGCTACAGTATTCCTTTTTGCGTTATTATTTGTTTGGTTGAGTTAAATTCCATAGTTTTGGAAATAATCAATTTCAAGGAGAGTCATTCATATTTTCATGGGTCGATGTATGGCCCATGATGTTGCAGACTACATTTCTGAAAAGGATAGGAGTGTATGTGAATTGGATTTTAATTTCACCGTACATTCCTCGATCTAACCAAGATATTTTCGGATCACTCCCCGCTAATGTCTAGTACGTATACACCCAAATTGCCGACATGAATCAAGTCGGACTCGCATAGATGCAAACCAGAATATCAGTCTGGTTCAAGTCGATTATTCGACTTGATTAAGGCCGACTTTGGCTTCATTCAGATCGATTTTTCGGTTTGATTCAAGTCGATTTTTCAGTTTGATTTAAATCGATTTTTCGGCTTGATCCAAGCCGATTTTTCGGTTTGATGCAATTCGATTTTTCTTCTTCATTCAAGCCGATTTTTCCCTAAATTCTCGATATACATTGTCGATGAGGACCGCTTCGGAAGCCTCATGCATATAGGAGGGAGGAGGTTGTACATCGAGAATTCACTACACCCACCCCTCCTCTCCACCCGTTGACAACTTGGTTCATTGGTGAGTTTTTCAAGAATATCTTCGAAACTAAGGGCGGAGTAGTATTGAATTCTTGATGTACAGCCCCTCTTCCACCCCCCCCCCCAATTTTTCTGTAAAAATTCGGAGATATCGTTGAAAAACTCACCGATGAGCTAAGTTGACAACGGGAGGGCTATACATCGAGATTCAGTATAACCCCCCTCCCTCTCCCGCCATGCACCAAGTC